CCACCTCATCCACTGTTAGTCTATGTAAACATGTAAACATACAAACTGTCGTGAACATCTAATTAAAGCTACTTTGAGGGGGACATCGTCCGACACACGACCACGAAAGTAAATAATTAGTAATGTACTATATATATATATATATACGGTCACAAGTTAGGCGCATCAAGGCATTACGTTTAGTCACATGGCCAGTCCTTAGAGATGTGTTCGTTACTCACTTTTATTGGTAATGTTTGTGACGGGGAATGTATTTATAGTGACACATCCAGCTTACCTAAAACAATAAACGGGGTATTCAGTTCTGGATCGGGACGTTAATCACTGCACGTATCTACCTGTAGTCCTCTTACATACACACAGGAAACAGTCATACAGCTTACTCTCGTGTTAATGACAACTCCAACTCTATTTCTATGATTCTATGATTTTGTAACTTTTGAATGTAACAATATTTGTCTGTTGTAAGACTGAAGGATATCACTCTGCTTAATAGCGTAATGAAACCATGTTTAAGACAAGAGGATACTGAAATATAACCAAAACAATATGCCTTTCTCAAATTCCATGAAACAATGGCGAAATGTTAAGAAATGAAAGATTTACAAGAAAAGCTTTCATTTCTGAACATTTTGCAATCGACGTAGTTACAGCTGATTCATCAGGCATTAAGGATATCGTGAAATTTGCAATCTGGACGCGATTGTGACAGAACTCTTCCATATAACTTAGAAACTTTGAAGTTTTAGTTTGTACGTCAACAGTTGCAGAAATCGCAATATCTGAACCCCACTCTTCAACATTCAACACCGAATCGACTGTCCCTTGGTGAACTAAATGACAGTGTGAAATACACCAATTATAGGGAAACTGTGATACTAATGTCACATAGTGGTGATCGGTCCTTAGTGGTCACATTCCCAGTACAGTTTGAGTCTGGTAAGCGGTGGACACAATGGAGTGATGGAATACAGCGGGTATTTCTTGTTGTACTAAACATTGGACCACATATCTATATCTGAACTCGGAGAACTTGACAAGAGTTTTGTATCTATTGTCCAAGAGAGGGGCATGGCTCCCATAGGCATACCAATCAGGATTCGGAGAACCCAACAACACGAAGACATTACCAGGCAAGAATTCAGCCAGTCTCTTAATTCCATCTTGAAGGTTACCGTTTTATCACAAATTCATATACTCTGAAAGAAATCACACTCTTTAATAAAAACAATTATTCTTACTTTTAATAAATTTGAATATTTTCAAGGTCATCCCATCACATTATAAACATTTTCCATTTCAACGTTACTTTTTCTGGCCTTGTCTTTCATAACTCTTCTTCTAAATCAGCACGTTCACATGAATCACATAAAATCATTCAAATTCATAATGGTGAAGAGATGTATGCAGTCCGAATAAGAGCTGTCATTACAAAAAGCGGAGATTTTCAAAAAGCTTTGAATGTTGTATTGTAGTGTATACGTAGAAAAGAAGTATAACATCAACATTTTCAGCAACGTTCCATTGTTTTCTGAAACCTTGGTTGCGACCTAGTGACAGACAGTTGTGACCTTAAACTACCTGTATCGGCATACCTGTCACTAATTGTAACGGAAAAAATCGATAATTCTCTCCTAAATCATATTAAAAAGTGGCACACATTTGTACAACATACAATAGCCTTTGTCCTAATTCCGACTGTGTGTCTTCCTATCTCCAGATTGTCGTATTATTTACCGAGCACGTGTCAGAGAGCAGATGGTAGGTACTCCAAATAAACAATAAAAGTCATCCCATGACACTTAATATGTGTAACTATTGAACAAATCATGATATCATTTCCTAAAACAGAACAACCACGCCACGCCATTATTAAGAATACGACAGTATTTATGAAATTATAGAAATAATATTCTTGTCATTTACAAATCGGTGAAATAACCTGACCACGTAGTTTTAGCTGAATGTGGTCTTGGTATTTGCTATGCTTGGTGTGTTTAATCATTCTTACAGCTGTTACATAGAGGGGAGTGAAACCGACTGCAACTAGTTATGTGTGCGTCACACATGAATTGACACGTACAGGGATACACGTGCATTACCTTTGTTTTCATTACACGTGCATTAACAAAAAGGTGCCTCGAGAAACGGATCAACAAGACAAAGGAAGTCCACTATCTGGTATTACCAAATACAAATAATAAAATGGGGTTGATATGAAACTGGAATTTGGTCAGAAAAGAAATGTTTATTTGAAATTAGTTCGGTCTGTAAAATACTCTCAGTATGAAACACTCATTGTTATTAACAGCAAGAAAGTCTCGGTGGTAATGCTTTAAGGTATGAATGTTTCATTTGAAACATTTTCATTTCTCTGTCGAACGATTTTGAACCGTCGGGAATTGTCACGGTTATAATGTTCTATAGATTGTATTGTACAAATGTAGCTATGTTTTATATACCAGGTATCTACATTCAGCTACATTTGTTCTTTCTCTAGTCCTGTTTATTTTGTAATTATTATCTTGTGTAAGATCAAGGACATAGTGAGGCTATTCGGGACGTGTGCAGCTTGGTTGGGTATAGTACCCGGAAACAGATGTGACCAGTCGCCATTGAAAGAGTTATATCACAATGAACGGTGCTTCGTTACCCTTGTATAATGTCTAACCGTCATTCCAAACAACAAATACATAATCTTACATCCGTAGATACAAGAATGACAGGGAAGAGCTCCCGGCTATGGACCGTAAACAGGGTTATGACAAATTGAACCCGGACGATTACTGACGGTATCAGTCATATATAGGTGTTCGGGTAGGTGTTGTGCGACATATGTACAAACCACTTAAGATTGTGCTATGATTTAGAACAATACGAGCTATTTAACATGGGGACGGTAGAACAACACACGGTACTAGCAGAGCTCTACGGTAATATTGTCCTAAGTTTGAATGATTTTTCAATATCGTTCATGGTTCTATGTATATTTGATGGCTTAACCTATATAACTTGACTACTACTGGAACTGTAAAGTAGACCGATACAAATACGTATCCACAGCTTGATACCCCGTGTAAAGTAGACCGACACAAATACGTATCCACAGCTTGATACCCCGTGTAAAGTAGACCGACACAAATACGTATCCATAGTTGGATACCTTCTGTAAAGTAGATCGGTACAATACGTATCCACAGCTGGATACCTTATGTAAAGTAGACCGGTACAATACGTATCCACAGCTGGATACCTTATGTAAAGTAGATCGGTACGATACGTATCCACAGCTGGATACCCCTATAAAGTGGATCGGTACGATACGTATCCACAGCTGGATACCTTCTGTAAATTAGACTGGTACAATACGTATCCACAGCTGGATACCTTCTGTAAAGTAGACCGATACGATACGTATCCACAGATGGATACCCCTGTAAAGTAGACCGGTAGAATACGTATCCACAGCTGGATACCTTCTGTAAATTAGACTGGTACAATACGTATCCACAGCTGGATACCTTCTGTAAAGTAGACCGATACGATACGTATCCACAGATGGATACCCCTGTAAAGTAGACCGGTAGAATACGTATCAACAGCTGGATACCTTCTGTAAAGTAGACCGATACAAACACGTATCCACAGCTGGATACCTTCTGTAAAGTAGACTGGTACAATACGTACCAAAGCTGGATACCCCTGTAAAGTAGACCGGTACAATATGTATCCATAGCTGGATACCCCTGTAAAGTAGACCGATAGAATATGTATCCATAGCTGGATACCTTTTGTAAAGTAGACCGGTACAATACGTATCCACAGCTAGATACCTTCTGTAAAGTAGACCGGTACAATACGTATCCATAGTTGGATACCTTCTGTAAAGTTGATCGGTACAATACGTATCCATAGCTGGATACCTTATGTAAAGTAGACCGGTACAATACGTATCCATATTTGGATACCTTCTGTAAAGTAGACCGGTACAATACGTATCCACAGCTTGATACCCATGTAAACTAGACTGGTACAATACGTATCCACAGCTTGATACATTCTGTAAAGTAGACTGGTACAATACGTACCCCAGCTGGATATCCATTATCTACAATACATCTGCTGTGCGCGTGTATAACAATACAGGGATATATCACGCATTTACATATATGGTAACGTCGCACGTTCACCTTTCCACACCAAAAGGCCCTGTAATTACCAAGGTCATTGAATACATGTTATAAGTTGGTGTATGCGTTTTACAACTAAACGTCAAATATCAGACCAATTCAATCAAATTTGCATACAAAGTTCATTACAGCTTTCCAATATATTATATAATTTAATAATTCTAGTTGCTTCTAACACAGATCTTGGTGTCGGTCTCCGCGACGCCGACAAGATGTCCTCGGTAACGTTGGTGTGGGAGAAGTCTGCACCAGACATCGATCAAAACCTAGTTTCCATCCTTGTGGAATTGGTTGTTGAAACCACGAGATGTGGATGAGGAAGGCCTCATCACTTTATCACAATAATTTGATATAAAGTGTAATTGTTTCTGACAATAGTCACTAATGATAATTACGTTGATGCGATAGAGAGTATCATCGTTTCTTCACCGTGCCGTGTAAGTGCTGGGGCTTAAGAACACGTGTAAAGATCCAAAATTATATGAAATGAGGGTTTTGCGGTTTTTAGTAAATAAGGAAGCCAGATCTGGATTTCACAAACAAAAGTGTTAATTTTATCTATTATAGATAATGTAACTTCCAGAGCAACTGATAGAAACAGCATTGTTATCGATATCCAATCTAAGTGCTACGACTGCACCTGATAAAACACGTCTCACCTGTAATTTAGTCAGTGATAACTCCCTATAATGGTATATATTATCATACAAATATCGGTGTGGGTACCTGTTGTAGAATGTTGTACTCTGAAGACTCAGCGTTGCCTTTGATAAGGTCTAAACTTTAATTACAAAAGGTAATGCGACTTACCTGTTCATTTGCGTTAATGCCCCGTTTAGGGGCGTTAAGGGCTGACTGAATCCCGATTGAATCCTTGTCAATGGAACCCACCATTCTCGTAAGATGGACATTACAGTACACATCAGGGGTGTTTTCCTGGTCCCAGTGGAACGTCTTTAGGGTCAGCTGTAATCCACACACTCGACACCGAAAACACCTCCTGTGGAACAACACCCCTACATCCACCTTCTCCACCGGATACACACGTTTTTCACACCGGTAGCAGGGATCCCTAGGGAGAGACCTTATATCCTCACAATCCGAGTCGTCCCCGTCACTCGAGCACCTGTCATCCATTTCTATTTTTCTTACCTGACTGTTTACGGGTAGTGTTGTCTTAAAGCTAATGGTACGGTACCTGTCATATTAGGTGTGTAATCCGTACAGTTCCAACATTACGGGTATGTGGACATCGTTACATGTCTGTTAACATCAAGAAGTCTAGTATTATTAATTAACTATGAATCACACACGACACTGATCACATACTGCACACACACACACATATAAATACAGGGGTCAGTTACTAGTCCTGTGATAAACAAACACTCTAAGACATTACTCCATGTAGATAATGACACACCATAAAGCGTCGGACACGTTCTTTATATAATACACACACACCGTGCTATAGATCCGTGTACACACAACACATGCTTCACGATTTTCTCGTAAAATGAAAGTTCAAACCAAACAAATGCACTCTGTGTAGCTCCGCCCCTATCAACATCTCAGCATACTGATTGGTTAGTTTCTTAGTCGATAAAATTCAAGTAATATCTGATCTCGTCTGACTAATTCGAGGTCATTGTGTTATATGAATAACAATCAGTCTGATATTTTCACATGTGTCGTATCAAATAAATTGTAGACTTAATTTCTTTATTAATACATTTTAAGTGGTAATGCTTAAACTATCAACATCATACTTTGAATTAGCTTTCAAATACGTGTCAAAGAGAGACAACTCCACATCAAAAAAATTATCGGGCCCCGATTATGTATATTTGTCATGACGTTAGGGTCAATCACAAACTTAGCATTTATGCTATTGTGTAGAAAAAAAAACTAATTAAGAAATACAAGTTGATATCTCAAACAATATTTCTAATGAAAAGTCAAAAGACTGGTCTAAAAAAAACTAAGTGATTTCGTAATTACAATTTGAATTTAAACCAATTTTACTGCATAATGATATTCAAATGGATCGAACGCAAGTTATCAGAACTTATCAATATTCTCTCCATAATACAAGTATATGTAGTAAGGACCTAGCATGACCTGTACATATTTTACAAGGTTTTAGAAGAAAACAGATGAAGAGTCAGAAATCAACACTAAATGTCCAGGAGTCGACAACTAGGCAGAAGACCCTATATACTGACATGTATTTAGGCAAATCTTTAATGTCAGAAATAAAGTTCTGAATAAGTGTACAAATAATTCCATTTGATTTCTTATCTAAAGAATTATCGCCATACAAAATGTTGATATTTTTTTTATACTTACACGAATCTGTTCAGAAGCGAATTAGGCTAAGGTGAGATATATTCAGTATCACAAAGCATTTGTACAATGAACTGAAATGAAAATGAAGTAGGGGGGAAGAGTGGGGAGGTGGGTGTTAGCAGAAAAATATCATTACAGCTCATAAAGAAATTGATAAATGGGAAACAATCGATGATTGCATAGTTCTATATTTAAAGGGAGACAACTTGTATAGTCGGCTTAATGTTATCTTTCTAGAGATGCCGGGTTGTGGCACGTGTTTTGTTAAAGAGGTTACATTTTCTTACTTGAATAAAACCTCATTATTAACCTCACATTTCTCAACTTGGAATGAGTCAAGGTGTGTTAAAGGCATACATATACTTATAACCTGTTTGATCATGGAATTATACTGTTTTTCTGACATGGAAAGCGAACACAGGCAATCGGATATTTCATATCATATTGGTTATACAAAATAAAAGCCTTGGGGAAAATTCAGTGTGTTGATACACTGTAGTAAGAATAGGTATATGTCTTTTTTTACCGTAAGCTATCTTAGAGCTTAATATTTTAATTCAAAATTAGTGAAAAAGTACTGTGAAATACCTTTTGATCAGGGCTGGTGTGAAAACATGATTGTCCCTAAAGAAAAAAATAAGGAGTTGCAATGACCTGAGGTTTTATTTCTAACTGATTAAGATATGTCATTTTTGTGTGCTTTTCCATAGGGTGAGTGTACCACCGTACTGTTTATCTGTGGTATATCTATCGCAGTCTGTATCAATGTGTCTTGTTAACATACGGGAGGTAAGCAATACTGGACGTTTCTAGGTACACACCTTAAACACACTGTAAACCAATACAAAGTCCTCTGTAGTATTATACTCTATTTATTAGACTCACGTCAAGCACGTTACAACAACAGCAGGAATAACAACAAAACACGTATACAGCGAACATTATCGTAATATATAAATACCTTAGTACGTTAAATGATACTAAACAACTGTACATCAATGCAGATTTATATCGGTTACATAAATAAATATTCTATGTTCAAACATACACGATACATAACAAACATATTGGTATGTGTAGCTTATCATGTGATTCATTCTGAGCCGAAAATTCAGATTTAATTCCATTCCGATTGTTCCATAACAATCAGGTTTGTAAATATTGATCAAATAATTGAATGGACCCAGATAAATTTATTGGATCAATATTGCAGGTTATGAAAATCAAATTAAGTCATTTAACATCATTTCCCGCCACAAACCCGGAAATAAAGCATGTAATTGTTATTTCCAGACCAAAGAAGCATTATCAACAGTTGTAAGGACCCCGCGCCCCTCCCCCCGGAAAAATTGTTACATTCAGTCCATCAATTGGGTTAATGAGTTGTATTAGAATATTTAGCTTGATTGCCTACGTGATAATACTTATAATAATGTTAAATAACTAAACACTTAAGATGGCACATATTGACATATCTACACTCACTACAGCTGCCTTTAGAAATCAATCAGGTTTGTAAAATTTACAAAATCACTTACATATTACTTGATCAAACAACGACTTGTTGTTGATAAAGAAATGCAAAACTAATAAATTGATAAAAGAATTGTGATTAGAAATATTAATCAACAACAGGGATGGAAATGAAAATCACTCTTCACTGAATATTTAATCTCTAATTCAACGTTGTTCAATTGATTTTCTAAGAGTCTTTTTACACACTGTCCAAATATCACTTATAGCTTCACTTGGTACAAAATCAGGAAGTATCGATATAATGTGCTCGTCACGTTTTAATTCATTCGGAGAGTGGAATGATCAGGAATATACATATGCATTAAGTATCTAAAATTAAATTATCCTAATATGGTTTTCGACACTTATTGCGAGCAATTTGCATCTTCTCCAGTCATCTTTATGTCCTGAGCATCGACATCACTGACAAGTCCTAGAAGGACGAAACACCTTTATAATACAGCTTAATTTATTATTTGGCCTTACTGTATGTAATTCTAAATTTGTATCTTCTCCAGTCCCCTTTTAGTCCTGAGCATCGACATCACTGACAAGTCCTAGAAGGACGAAACACCTTTATGATACAGCTAAATTTATTATTTGGCCCTACTGTATGTAATTCTAAATTTGTATCTTCTCCAGTCCCCTTTTAGTCCTGAGCATCGACATCACTGACAAGTCCTAGAAGGACGAAACACCTTTATGATACAGCTTAATCTACTACTGTATGTAATTCTAAATTTGTATTGTAAGGTGCTATTTTTGTGCGTCTTTTGTACAATCTTCAACATTTTGAAGTAAAATTTTATGTTTTTTCAAAAATAAATCCCAATTAGCATTTTTGTTCTTAAACATATGTCGGCTGAAAATATCACATGAAGAAATGATGACAATGTATAGGAAATTCGAAAACATTGCAGTTTACTTCATCAACAGCGAGAATACAATTAGTCATCGAAGCGTAAAATAGGCTGCAAAGCTGATAGCACACCCCTCCTTTTAGAGATAGCCTAATCAGATTCTAGACTTTCCTTTATATGACTAAAACTGTAGAGGCTTGGCATACTCGGGACTGGACAGTATACTGACGGCAATATATCGATACATATCATCCGTTTATATCTCGGTTTCCGCGTCGTCTACCAGTTCGTAGTCAAGAAGGTGAGCAAATAACGACGACTCACGGTCATTCGAAAATCGGGCGTATATTTTCGCCGTGCACGGTGTACTTCCGGTGTTAATGTTCCCCTCGAATGTGTATGCCAGTTTCCGTTTCAAGTGATGCCAGATTTCTCCGATTACTAGGAAAACCTCTACCGCCTTTGGTACGTCCACTCGGAACGTATATCGCTTGTGCGTCATCAAATCACCTGATACGGGCTCGTGCAAGGTGCAACGCTGCCAGCGATGGAAAGTCTTGGGGAATAAGTTTACGGCAGGATTGGGTTCTTGGCAGATAACTAAGTAACGATAAGCACAGTCAAGAGTTTGAGCCTCGTTTTCACCGTCGGCGGCATAGAGCGAGAAAATATAGAATCCTTCCTTAGGACATCGCACCATATAATTGGCTAAGGAGTCCGTCCTTGACCTTAGGAACACGTAGCGGTCAATGTCTGACACAGAATTGTCACTGACGTCAAAATATTGAAATGTGTGTGTGAGTTTAATTTTTTCACACAAGGTAAAACTGATCTCAAGGTTCTCTCCATTGGAGACAATCAATGGATCAAGTTGGTTTTCCTCTTTCATCCCCAACCTTTCCATCACGGGAGTCGGACCATAAAACGGGACTGGGGGATAGGGTGGCGAAGCCACGCCTAAAATTTGCTTGCAGTTCACTAAGAAAGAGCATGCGCTCTCCAGACATTCCGACTGCCAATAGTCTCCAGTGTACACAGAGAACTGGTACACTCCTGTTTTGGGCAAGTTGATGGTAAAAATGGCTTCGTTCTTAACTAGTCGAAGTAAAGTCCGGCCTTCGATCGATTTTGAACTATCACCAGATTTGTCGTAAGGCTCCAGCAAGGAGCCGAATCCCAAGATTTTTGGCGTTATCACTCGAATCTCAACCATGCCAGTATCTGTATTCAATGAAGCACCATAGTTTGAATAGAACTTTAATCCATAATTAAAGAACGGCGACTTCACAACAGGCAGGTTTTGAAATTCAGAGAATGGCAGAGGAATGTCCATCAGCTGCCAGGCTGAGTCGTCTGGGTAGTGTTGGTAGATATAGTCCTCGGGGTCCGTTAGGAAATAGAACTCATCATACTTGTGAAACATCTGTGGTAGGTCGTCCTTGTGGCCTGTCACATGACGCGCCGCCCACGTGCAGTTCACTATTCTCCAGTTTCCATCAATGGCAACCGCTGTCCAAGAGTTCCGAAATGTTGTGCCTTCAATGCGCATGCCTGGCTTGTAGCCGGCACCCTTCGAGAAACCGAGTATGATTTCACAGTGGAGTCCAGCAAAGCTGAAATATTAACGATAAAATATCTAAATATCATTTTTTTTTAATTTCTAAAAAATCTAAGTTGGGTCCAGAAACAGCGATATTTTTATGAAACAATAAGTTCAGTCCTTTTAAGAGTAACATTTTTACAATAAAATAATATTTGCATCGAATAAAATACACATACTTGCAGAGTTTCTTGAACAATTGGTGATAAGTTTCTTTTCCGCTGCGAACGCCCTTCAGTATGGAGGCCCTGGCGTTTGGACGGATGATTTCGTGAACGTTGTGTTTGCCAAGGTCTTTAGCTATAACCCATCGGAACAAGGCCCTGTAATGGAATATATAGTGTGAACAATCACGGTATGGTCAAAACATTAAGATGGATCCTCTACACACAAAGAGTTATATGTTTGAAGACGGATTTCATTTAATGTAATAAGCGAGGAAAACTGGCAGTGTCTATTGATGCTGTAGCCACAACTGAAATATAGAGCTGCCCAACCATTTAAATAACAAGAAGATTGTCCATACTGGTGATTTAACAAAACTAAAACTTATTTCAATAATATGATAACGCCAAGATCAATCTAGACCCTAAAATTTGAAGTAAGCACACTCTCCACACGGTTAAAAAGTGAAAGATTGAGATCCCCGGCGACTTGATTAAAGTAGAACATCAGAGTCCTACTAAACAGGGTGCAGGCGTAAGTGTCTTTAGAATTTACATTCCTTAGTATAGACGATTGTGTATCAAGATACAACAGGACAACTCTTCTTTCTTCAGAATCTCCTAAACGTGTGCGAGACAAACGTTTTCTGTTCGGCGTGTGAGGTTTATTTGTTTTCTCTGTTCGTCAGGATTAATTCTAAAAGTCACCAAAAGAACACGACTTTCTGGGATGATTTGGAAAGGAATTGGTTACCTGGCTTTCTGGAGTTCGTTTGCACAGTCCCTTGTAAGGTCTCTAACTAGCTCTGTGAAACTTCCGTATTCCGTTTTTGCAATCTAAGTAATAGAACAATCAAACATGATGATTCAATATGTGAATTACACCAGAACTGAACGTTGTTAAATATACGATTTGTTCGATAATTAACGTTCAACGGGTATAAACATACAATTCAAATGCGTCGTTGTTACTAACATGAAATACGTGTTGTGGTGAAGAATTATTTATAAGGAAACCTCTGTTGATTGAGAAATACAAATCTATTTTGAAAACTTGTAAATTGCTGTACATCAGATTTATTCCAATAAATTCAGTAACAGACCATTTGAAAATTCCTCTTTACCTCTATTGCCCTTTTGTCAATGATTTCGAACTGTGCTGGGCTAGAATACAGTTGTGCTTTCTTGCTTTCAGGTGGAATAACTGCTGGTCTCATTGTGTGATCAAAGAGGGCACTTCGGTCAACCACTCGATCCTGGAACGAAAACGATATTGACTTGTGTACTACCTCAAAGAGGTCACTAAGGAATAAATATAGTTGATAAATTGTTTTCAAATTAAGGAAGCTGAGAGGCATTAAACAGGAAAATGATCCAGCGTTTCCTAATGGGATATCTACACGGTTAAAACATATATTTCATTATGTCCAAGGCTTAATACGGGTCCGTTCAAAAATGTTTTTGATTTTAATGACTTAAGAGTATCGGAAATTTAAATTTTGATAAGAGCTTAATCTGACTGCCCACGCCTGAAGAAGCAAAACCCTGGTAATTTGTATAAGAGCCTACCTTCTCCGCAATGAGCTGCATCATTTCCATTCCGTGTCGCTCTAACATCTTGGCTGACCTGGTTTTCTCCTCCGTGGCAATCTTGTCTATCATTGCCTTGAGCTGATCCTCCCGTGATTTGTTAAAATGCTCCTCTATCCTCTCTCGTTCCGCCATTAAGTTCGGGGACTGACCCTGTATACAGTAAAGCAGTAAACATACTGTCGTTTCATTCCGGTATGTGGCTTTGTTATGAGGCTATCTATTATTTTGTAAATCTATATGTTCTAATATGTAGCAGTGCAAGAGATATTTTAATGGAATGAAATAATATATTGAATGGAACATAATTTTAGATAAAATATAATTCTTATGGCTTTTAAGGAACAACAATGTTAAGTTTCAAGAAAATATGATAATGAGTCATTACCTGGACTTACCAAGATTTATAGGGTGCTATTGTTAAGATGTTTGTATTCTTTCACAACACATGGTATTATTATCTTTTCCGTTAGTTTCCTTTAAAACATTTCTTTAACTCATATATTGTCCCGGTATCGTCGTTTTGAAGTAACATAGTGTTAATATTTCCTTATTTTCTGTCATTTTTCCTCAGAGAGAAAGTCTAATCATTCTGATATCTCAACCTAACATAGGGCCTCAGTTGATAAACTGTCGGTCGGGAGTTTCGAGGGATGACTCTACATGGTTAATGGTATCAGCTCACCTGAAGGCGCATTTGGTCGAAGGCCGTCAACAGTTCCATAGCAGCTACTTCCTTCTCCTGACCAATGCTCTCGTCCAGACGGCGCGTCTCCTTCTCGCGTTCCTCCAACAGGAAGCGTTGTAGCCGATCCTCTTCCTCACGGTGTCGCTGTTCCAGTGTAGCTTGGGCTGAGAATACTCCGGTGTCACTGAAATCCTGGTAACAATGTCAAAGTTCATATTAATGTGGATGTTTTGTTTATGTTTATTTTTTCAGTAAATCATAATTTCCTTGTCCATTCTTGTGTTTCATATCCCTAAAGATCGCATCATTGATACCCTACACACTAACAGCCGAAGTGATAGGACGCAATGTATTTGCTTGTGTGTACTTGTTGTGCTGTCATTTTGGATGGAACAGAACGACGCGTTTACAGTGTTCAAAGGTCATGAAAGACTGACCAGTGACAACCAGTGAAGCATTAGTCACGCCATTTACAAAATATACAAAGTGTGTTGGTGAAATCTTAAACTTTGATCACAGATATAAAACACGAGATGCAGAAGATTAATTATGAGAATGACAATTTACCTGGAAGCTTTGTAGAGGTGGTCGGGGGCGTTGGTACCGACTGCCCGACATGTTACTGTAATCGAGGCTAGTATTGTGCATGGTCCCGGACATCCATGTACCGTTCATACTCCGGGGGGTCACACTGACTAGACTAGAATCTGCCGGACTGGTGGCCATCTTTGGAGTCCCCGGACGAGGACTGGACCGGGGACTATTCCGGGGACTGTTACGGGGACTAGGTCGGGGCCTGGGACTGTCAGATCCGCTTCGAGACGATGGAAGACCCGGTTGTTTCGCTGACTTTCCTGTAAGCTGCAAAGACAAGGACTTTATTACAGTGAAATTGGATTTATTTATCATATGGAGGAATATCCAATATCAAGTACACTTTCCTGAAACAGTAATGATAACATTCTTGGTCGTTTGAATGAACGGGTTTCAAGATAGTAACAAACCAACAAACACTATTAGATAAACCACGTGTGTAACACCATCAGCGCCACGGCAGTGTTGAGAATAATTACTTCCCATTAACAAATTTATTTATTTGCTCCTTTTTAAAAATGTCAAGAGTCAAATGTAACACGAAGTCTTGATAAATGTTGACGTCTATTCAATTCACATAATTAACGTAATGTACCTAGTCTCAGTGAGACGTGCCTGTATCATTCTTCACACAAGTTTAGAGTCCACAATATTGGACACTGTTATTTACATGGTCCAACAAATTGTCCAAAGACAGCCATTTTAACATAACCACTGAAGCCTGCGTTTGTTACAGATTCGCACCCCCTAAGCCTACAGTGATGTCGGTCGCCTGTGAAGCCTCGTTCACGCCGTCCACGTTACGTTCCGTGAATGATTAGCAACGCTGACCCCAGTTGATCTTATGTCAAAGATAGAAGCCGGCCTGCATACCTACATACGAGTGACACCTGGAGGGGAGGAACATAATTCTGACTCTTTTACACGGCAGCACGATTGACTGAGTCTTACATAACCTTGGATTACAAGCAAATGATAAATAATTCAATTACCTGAAAACATTATAAGAATTAAGTTCTGCATGCCGATGCTATAAACACTTATAGAGAACTGACTATATATAAGTAATGTATGACTGATCTAAAACATGTATACAATATTTACTTAAACAATTTATAAAATCCTTTCATTCTTTTGTTATACATGCACAATTATACATAAAGATGTTGTTTTCTTTAAATAGACATTACCTACGTCATACAGCAAACAGATATTAATTAAAACATGAAAACGTTCATAACACGTGCATCCAATTAAAACCTACGGTGCCCCTGAGGAGTCATTAATGTTAAATAAGAAACCGATTTCTATCTTGTTGACTCTGTACACATAACAACATGTGCTAAACTCCTGGTGTATCAATAATGAAACAGCGTCACACACATTAGTAATTCATCGTCAAAGTTTCCCCACAGACACGAGATTTCTCATCAACATCGGTAATAATCGTGGTGATGCCAAACTATTTTATACTGTCCTCATACAGTTCAAATTCAGCCCCTACCTATCGATGGTTAGATTAACTTTAAACAGAACCGTTTCACAACACCATATATATAGAATACAATATTTGTTAAAACATCACAATATCAAGAATTTTGCCTATCCGTCACACTTTGAAATAATTACCCTTACCAACTTGTAAAGACAGCCAAACAAAATGTGCGATAGTGTCAAGACAACTAGTTTTCATTACTGCTAATGTGATCCAAGTTGAGAACACAGCAACCTACACTGCTAAAGGGCAATTCATTTCTAAATAATTTTGCCTCTACAACAGAGTAAGACGTGTTCTTGGTGGTACTCGGTTCGATCAGCCTTGACCGTACCATTGGGTTACAACACACTGATGAAATCGGCGTTGTACCATATGTCACCATAAGTAAATAATATACATTGAAGAACGTTTTGCCGTGATTTAGATGTTAACAATGGAAGGTAACAACAAATAGATAATGTTGGGAAATCAACACTATAAAGATTCCCTGTAAACTCAAATCATTATGATATAAAGTATCGTCAGCCACCGCGTAAACACGGCGTCACCATAATTCAAATTTCAGAACTAGGAATCTCAACCGCAAGGTAACCTTGCATCTGATAAAGCAATCAGCGACGGTCCGTGTGATTAGTGACAACTGTCAGGTACAGGCTTACAACTTACTACAGTACATACAGGTCGACACTGTCCGGAGGGGATGACCAAGGTCAGTCGGGACAATGTCTGTCACTCACCAAGCTTACGAACTGACAGACATACATATAATGACTATGCCCGACAAACGTTAGAACAAAAACTGTGTTGTGAAAAAAATCCTCGTTCATTAAGATGATCATAACATTTATACATCTGTTTTACAACCTTATGCAACGTCGATTCAGTCCAAGAAATGTCGTGTTTATAGTACATGTACATGATTATACATGTAAGCTGGATCAACTCATTTCTCGAGAAAAATCCGATATCAGATCCACACATACTACATAATATTGACATTAGCAGCTGCGTTATGTTAATTTAATCACTGACAAGAAAAAGAGGTTTGAATTACTGGTTTGCAGTAATTAACTTTCTCACGGTGTTGATGTTCCGTTCTTAACAAGATATAATACAACCAACAGTAATTTACTTGTCCATGTGTTGCAGGACCAACGTGTGTTTAGCGTGCAGCCACAATTCCGGAAGTGGTAGTTAAAGCTCGTGATCGTCTCCTTAAAAAAAAATTCTTGTTTATGTCTACCTGTGCTAACACGCATGTCCGTTCTCGCAATAAAGCAAAATATCAGTTAGAAAACCGTACATACACATAATTACCTTACGCTTATATATGGCAATTGAAGTTTTACATAGTTCCCACGCCACCAAGCTTTAAAGTAACCCAGATTGGGTTCACCATAATAACAGTAGCTATATATACACACACACAATAATTTACTTGTGAACGCTTTACAGGTAAACATCAATATCTAACATGGCGTTCTTCTCGCTGTGTATACGTGAATAATTTAGGTCATCAGAATGCCTACCTGTACAGAATGCAAACCAAATTTGATGGCGTCGTGTAGCGTTATAGAAACATGGCGTCTTCTGACAACATATTCATGCGTCCAAGGTAAACGTGTTCGCGTTTTGTATCGTAAGCTATGTCATACCTTTAAAGTTGTCGTCAGTAGCTAGTCGCTTGACATTCCGATATGGATGACTGCTACTCTACGTATACATGCTAACCACAGACCTCACATGAACGGTAAGGTTAGAAAGTGGGAACTCGGATCATCGTGTTTAACACTACGTTATCCAATCATGACTTGTCTTTAATTAATATTTCAAGTGCGTATTAATCTAACTTACTGGTAAATCAGATATCCCATTCACTTAATTACACGTAACGATGTAATTGATTTTAATGACAAGTCTGTGTTAGTTGACAATTTAGGACAAGGGTGAGTAGGCTTCGTTTATGCATTTTTTACATAAAACACTAGCACAAATCTCGCCTGTGATTTCTAAGGGAGATCTTTTAATGCCACCAACAAATATTTTTATGAAAATAAAAGTTCTGTTTTAAACATATCAGCTGATAAATAAACTGGTTCTGGTGTTATATTATCACAATAATATGTCTGCCACTTTTCCAATTACAACAGTTGCTGGCCCCGCCTAAACATAGTAAGATAGACTGTGTAACGTACACCTCAACCTTCCGCCCATAATGTCAACACATTAGAAACAAGCATGAATTTGCCTTAATCTACCCGTCACATTCATTCGAATAGAGTTATGGTTAGGAATATACACGCTACTCAAGATCCCCTTTTAATCTCATTCAATGGTGAAAATGATAAAATTTATAACACAAAGTTCAACCATTTCGGATTTTCCTCGGTCGACTACCAGGCTTCTAGAATTTAGGCCCTTAGCGTGCCTGACGTTTCAAGGACCACACAGCTGCATGATACAGTTTCTTGTCTGCACCAAATTCTATATATTGTATTGAAAGGTGATATGCACTTGCATGACTTTTTGTACAACCGTTTAAGGGCTTTGGGGAATGTATTGCTATCGATACCAAGGACAATGATATGAAACTCCCAAAAAATGGAAATTAAAAAAGTGGTGTCCAGATAATTATGCGCTGCACATTGAACAAAAAGACGGCATCTTCTTAACAAAAAAACGTCTTGATTTCAACGTGAATTATGAGTAACGTGTGGTCAATGCCACGGCTTGTTCTACACTAAGTGGGAAGTAGTTTAGTCTGGAGAGCTTCGAACACCATGCCTTTAGAGATACATCAAATATGACACGTTCTCCTGGTTAGCTTTGAACTCCAACAGGAAAAAGACATTTCTAGACCTCTTTCTTTGAAGTTACTATCCAATGACTATGCTTACATTGATAGTCCCCATCCTAATTTCATCTCGGCTGCTTTTGTGAGAGCAAAAACAAAAACATTATATCACAGATAAAAAGATTTCATCATCGACTGCGAAAGGAACCGAATGGTCGACAAAGACAGAAGAAAGAAGATCACACCGTATACAAATGTACTTCTAAATATCGTCTGTGACCTTATTAGCATCTGTACATAAATTTAATTTTGACTATAGATCACTTTGGCCAGTCTGAAAAATGATAATATAGACAATTTATTGGAGAGAAGTCAGACATTTTCTGTTTTTATATTCTCGTTAAGTGGTAAGAGTCGCACAACATGCTAGTCATTGCTGTGCTACTATTTTAGACTTGGAATGAATATAGACGATAGGGGACGTCCAATCAGTGAGAGATCAATGAAGATTTACAGAGACCAGCCGCTGTTCGTGCCCAGTGATAATTATGTTAGATTCTACCAGCCTGTAATATCTACACAGCAGATGCTCGGTCGAGGCTTCCTAATCAACTGATGTCCGTCCGGATTGACCCATAATTGACCATAATTCCGTGGTCATCGCTCCAACCTACACGTAAAATTAGCAAGTTACAAATCCGACAAAAGTCTTTTTTGATTTATTTCTTATCCGGAGATACCGTATTGGTGACAATGCTATCAATACAAGGCCTGTGTTAACGTTTTACCAATCACAATGACAATATTACAGTGACTAGTTTTCATTTGTCCACCAAGATCCTGTCTCAAATATGATAGTTTATCTTACGTTTTGATCTATTATGTAAGACACAAATTCCATTTCAAGTTGGTCATAAACTAAACAGATATTCCATGTCCCAAATACACAGGTTCTTTGTGTAATATTCTGCTTGG